GACACGGAATGCCGTTAAGGGCCTGCTGAAAATGTGGAGTTCCGTGTGCGCTAGTTGAGCGAGCTCGGAGTCGGGTATTCAGTCCTGTTTTCAGGAACGGAAGTGGAAATAAATCGCGGTGTTTGTGTGTAACTGATATCGGGGATGATTTCATTTTGCATTGATAATCGTAACAGGCGCATAATCAAGATAGCCTATAAGCAATGTAAGTATACTCTGGCTTATCTGCATCGTTAATTTCCAACGGCCGGATCAAAATAAATCTATGCCGGGCCTGGTCATAGGAGTGGTGTTAATTCGCATGTTTGACTTCATTTGCGTTGTAGATAGGTAATGTCCAATGCCGACTTTAAATTTGGCTAAGTAATTAACTGCTTGTACACGTTTGAGTGACTGACCAATCTAACTGATAAAATCACTCGGAAGTACGAATAAATACGGCTTACCCCATGCATGATCGCCCCAAGCAGACTGATGCAAAGTCCAAATGATCTATTTGAATATTTGAATGAAATATCCTCGGGATAAAAGATGTGTGATGCCATCAAATAAAAGTCCTAAGACCACACATAGGCATTAGGCACACACAATGCTATCCGGTCGCCGCGTTAAATACATCTCTCTGGTATTCAATCACCGAACAAAGGTCAGGTCACCCATTGGCGTCACATCGACACCCGACATTCGGCGCCGTGAGATCGATCGACCCCCAAATGGAAATCACTCACTGCATTAGAATGGTAATAACGCGTCTGCGCGCGGCCGGCTGGCCACTCCCGACAGCCGCTGGGTCTCGGATAATTGGTGGCTGGGACTGGTGTCTCGGGTCTCGCTCCGGCCCACAGTGCCCGAGGGGACTGCCGGCGTCGTCTCCGGCTCAGTCGCCGCCGGCTCCGGCTCCGCGCCGCCTCAGTGCGCTGGCCGGCGGATTACCATAAGTCCGAGCCGGCGCTTGAATAATGGAGACAGAGCTGTGACGTCAGTTCCGAGTGAAGTACCCACTCGGAAGTGACTCGAGATGCGCTGGTGAGCCGGTTCGCCAGTGGTTCGTCGGCGGTTTGTTGGTTGTTTACCAGCAGCGGTGGCCTGTGATCAGTTCTCTGATGAGAGGCGCTACCCGTGTGCCACTCCGTGACCCCTCGGCGGTGCTGTGTCGTGACGCTGTTGTCCGTGACAGGTTCCGATCGGAACACATCACCGGTGCCGTGAGCCCATACCGATCAGCTCAGCTCGGCGTGCGATCGGACGTGGGACAATGGACGTGAAGGCACAGTCGATCAGCCACACCGATATTGAATTATTCAATGAAAAGTGGAAGCACGGCACAAGACATTTCGATAGGGGTTCAGTTCTGAGAAGAGCTTTCTGAGAGCCATGCTGACTGAGCATTTTATCGAAGGCCTTAGCTTCACTTTTGATTCGGACCTGTGAAACTGGCTCGCACCTATATTTTGAAAGAGTTGCAGCTTCCAATATCGCTATACATAGCCGTTCGACATAACCGATTATTTGAACCACAGATAACATGAATCAAATTCAGTTTGACCTGATCGGAGAAGGTCAAAAAGCAGCCATATAGCATTCGGCGATGCATAGTGAATGCTGTAAACTTCGTCTTCGTCTCCTCTATCGGCATGGCTACCACCATCTTCACCATCGTCACCACCATATACATCAACACCATCACCAGCACCACCACCAGCACCACCACCACCACCAGCACCTTATCACCGTCTCCGCTCACCAGCGCGGCGCCGGAAGACCATCGGCATTCAGTTAGCGGCCCGACTGCCGTCCCAATATGGAACCTCAGCCTCACGATGGTGAGTCGTTCTACGACGCACCACCCACCCACCCCGGACAGCCCCTGAGAGATTGAACTGACTCCTTACAGCGCACGTCCGGGACACGCGGTAAGGAGACGTACCGGAAAACACGTACGAAGATTATCGGCGCTCATCCCGGCACGACAGTTCAGGTTGGGGGTCAGCACCGGTGAGGGTATTTTCACGAGGAATGAGTAACCATAAAACGATAGCTGAGAAAGGAATAGCGCAGTGGCAATAAAAGAGAACATGAGAGAGGTAGTGATGGTTCAAAGACAGAGTCCGTCAGCCAGGGAGGACGTAAGTCACGAGGGAAGATGATGGTTTGGATTCATAAATGAGAACCTTGTAACCTACTGTCCAGTCACAAATTGTTCTTTGTTGCCCATTTACTATTGTTGGAAAGCCAGCCTCCACTCTCCGGAGATGAGCCTTTTTGATCGGGCGATTGATCCCAGCACTGTAAATGAGGCTTTTCGTATTTCGACGAAGACAATTGAATTATGGACGAGTTGAATGTGGTTTGGAGAACGAGACATAATTCATAACTGCATTATCATTCATGATAATTATTCATCGGGTCACATAATGCCACCTGCAGTCTTGGCTCGTGGCTTTCTGGGACGCTGTTGTCGCGGTAAAGAGCAGTTATCGTGAGACCTAATCTCGGAAACCCATCCCATTGGCTCCGGGCAGGCAAATTAATATTAAACAGGCCATATTTATTCGCGTTTTTGTTGGAGCTCTGCTGCCTCCGGCACCTCGTCCAAGGCTGTTGTCACGGCTCGAATCAGCGTGACAAGCGAACAAAGGCAGCTATATAGCTGGACGCACCCTGTGACCTAGCGCGCTGCTTTTTGACACAGGGCGGAACCTTTTTGTGCGGCTGTCATTGCTTATGTAAATGTATGTCAACGTGCCTAGGAATCGGAATGATGAAAGCACAATTGTCTCCTACCTACTACACAAATTTTGGAAGAATCGAGAGATTTTTTAATTAGATTTTGGCTCGTTTGTGAGAGGCCTCTTTGTTTTAGAATAAATAAGCTCCGTCTCAATCTCAGAGTTCCACGCTTCTTCCATGGCTGACAGTTCAGATGGACAGGTCCCACCTCTCAGGGTTGAACCCCTCTTGTTCGGTCGCTGGGTCAGGGCTGGGAATGACGCCGAAGGTCACCTTCACCGCGATCACAACGGATGCCTATGTATTTCGAACTTTGGGAACCTGCGCCCTGTAACGAATACTACGGTGGTCTGCCGCTGGCATCCATGGCTGTGCCTCTTCTTGTAGTAAGTGCACATGTTGACAGAGGCAGAGCCCTTCTGCTCGTAGATTTCGTTTCGCTGAAGTCTTCTTCCCTGAAAACCATGTCTCTAACTATAGTCCGTACCTGTGAAGCCGGTGGTGCGCGCTCCAACCGAATTCCGTTCTGATCGATAGCCGAGCATGTGGCGGCGGAATTAATGAGGTAATTACCGCGACAACCAGGAGATGGGTCGGTGGGCGTCAGAAGTCTGACAGAGCCCACCGATCACCTCTCGGCGGCTGGTAGATCGGGTGCCGCGAGCAAAACAGATACTGGGGCCTACCGAGTGCCTGGTGGGACCATATGAGCTGCTGGGAACGCGTTGTTTGTCTAAGACGACCAGATAAGCAGCAGAGATCACCGACTTCCGAGTTTGTAAAGGTAATTTTTAGTGAAACCGCACAAACTCCGCGAAAGCTATTGTCATTCCATGTTTGAGTTGTGCTCCGAAAGCGTTTGCCGTTCTTAGATTCTGTTTTCTCTGCAGTACATAGTTGACACTAGGTTTTCTGCATGCAGTAGTGACTGTTGCTGCCCTTTGTGTGCTCGTCTGCAATGATTGAAGCAAAGGAACGCATTGTAAAACCATTGATACATCGCTATTGACATCTCATTGAAGGCCATGACGACGGACGTGCACAGCTCTTCTTTGTACCGTCCTGCTCTTGCCACTGATTTGGAATTTGGAGTGTTTACTGTTTGGATTATCAACCCTGCTGGCACTTCATCCAACGAACTATAGATATGTCACATGCTATGCCATCTTTATGTTGAGTGACGGTTAGATCTTGATCAGAAATATTTAAACAAAGCGTCTTCTTTGTTTGAAGGTATCACACTTTTATGGTCTATTTAGAACGTTTCGTGACCGTTGGGCGAGAGAATAAAGGGAGCATTTGTCAAACGGTCACCCCGGAAGGACTTTGTTGGAGTCACCCTCGCTAGCTGCCTTGGTAGGTTGCCCTCAGTTGGAACAGAAAAGTGCGATCGACGATGAGGGTGGGTTCATCATTCATGGTCCTGTCTCTGTAAATGAAAAGGACGGGTGGTCCTAGATCTTACTGCAACCGTCTCACACTCACGGGCTGCAGCTCGTGGAGCCATTGCACGGAGTTATCTGGGTCCGATGCTGCCAAGGTTATCTTGCCTTCCACAAAGTTCCAGGGAGGATAGCCCCGTGTTTCATGAGCGAGCATACATAGAGTTTTCAGTGGCTACCCGAGCAATACAGTTAACCTAAGCGTGCAGTGTGAAATGCATGTATCACCGATGGAGATTGGCTTGCTGCTGAGTGCTGACTGCAGTTCACATTGTTCGGTACCTAGCCAGAACTCATAGGTGGCAGCACATGCCCTCAGCTCGACAGATAGGACCTATGCCTGTGCCTGTTGACCACATACTACCACCTTTATCCACTAAATGGAGCCGAGGACGTTCTGAGACCTCATCTCCGATCCAAATTGATCAATCGTAAAGTGCACACAAATCCTTCTCAGCGCCGCTAGCCCCCCCCCCCCCCCCCCTGTTCTGGGCTAAACGGTCACCTCCACCCGACTCGAGAAGCCCCCGACAGAGCATCTTCATGTGCGGTGCATCCCGCCACGCAGCGGTGGGGTGATATCCCATGGAGACTTGTCCAAAAACGAAACAGCATTTTAACCCCCCTCTACGATTTTTCTTGGGTGTTTCCTCATGGGGTGAGGATCTTTATCTTTGCCAAATGTTGTCTGCCGACACCCTTGCGGTTTGGCCCTGTAACATCCCTGGCTCGGCTCCGAAGGGGCGCCACCAGGGCGCCACCTGCACGCTCCACCAAAGAACCACCAGTTGCATTCTGTACCACACAGATGGCAGCACTGGGACCTACCTGAGTAAAGCAGCGCATGCTGCGGCCGCAGAGCCGTGTGAGCCGCGCCTGGGACGTGCAGAGGGCAGCACTGAGCCGCTGCCGCTGAGCTGAGGCCGTCGCTGCTGACTCGAGCTGCTGCTGCAGGCTATCGAACGTCTGCTGCTCGATCAGCATGGCGTCCTGCAGCAGCTGGATCAGCTCCAGCAGACCCTGGAGGAGGGAGTGGAGGGGTGCGGTCAGAGGGGACGGCGGATAGAAGCGTGGTCTGGTTTGAGCTGGGAAGGGAGTAGAAGTTGGTTAAGCATGCAGGTAACTAAGTAGGCTGTGTTTCTGCATCAACAGTGGCTCAGTCTAAGCTGATAACGCCTCCCAGTTATCATATTTATTTCATATAGCTCAGTTCTTTTTTTGTTACCTCTAAAACGTGTCATGTTTTTACTTCCCACCTATAATTAGAGGCGACAACTTGAAACTCATATGATATATGCTGATTTCAGGTGAAAAAGATGTTTCAGACTAGCAGAACGTTTGAAATAGCTCCCAATCCTTCTCACGTTCACATAAAATGTTCATTCTGTATTCCTGTCTCAGACATTGCACATGCTTTCATGCTCCGTAACTTTTCAAATTTAGACTCCAAAATATGCAAAAGGCATTACGCAGTTGCCGACAAAAAAGTAGCATCCGGTCCGGAATTCCCTGCCAAACTTCAAACCATAAACTTAAATGATTGCATATCTCAGAGGCCGGACTCGCATAAGCCTCTCACGACATCCCGAATTGAACAGAGCAGCTGCAGCCGATCGCACGCCAGTCTAGTCAGCAGCCAATAACGCTCCCGGAAAGGCAGGGAGCAATTGAATCCCAGTCTCCTCAGAACAGGCCGGCATCGTTAGCTCTGCTAGATGCGAGTCGTGCAGCCGCCTCGTCGTTACTAAAAGGAAGTTCGAGATTCAGATCACTCTTGCGGAGTAAGGTGAGACCTTTCTTGATGAATTAGAAAAAGCTAGGAATGTGCTTCATGACCGTAACAATTGAAGCATGGTTTATCCAATATCATAGTCTCATGTTCTTCCACTTCATGTCTAATTGAACTAAACTTCATATTCTTTGACAAAATCGCGCCAAAGGTATCGTAAGAAACGCATACTTTCATGTAAAAAAAAAAAACAGCAATACGCGGTGTGAATGCAGCGCAGCAACGTCGACGCGATTCGATAAAAAAACAATCTTGATTTTTCATAAAAAATGTTTTGCCACTACAGTGCACTGCACATCGCTGATATCAATTTCGACCAAGGATATCCATCTCCGCCCACAGCAGGCCTAATATAGACCCCAGCTGCGTGCGTTGGGAGTGTCCTGGGTCGCAGTCTCACTGTCGCCTGTTGAATTGTTCCAACATAAATCGCTGGTGTTGCCCGACCTGTCGCCAAGTAAGGTTCGGTGGCCATGAGCCGTCAGTCGTCACGTTCAGGGATGTCTGACCACAGCCACGCGCTGGGGAGGATGGTGGTGGGGGAGGGGGGAGGGGGAATGGGCGTGCAGGTGTCTTATGGCTGATGCAGCAGCCAGCTCCAAAGTTTTTTTTCTTATATGTCCTTCATTGTTAACAGTACATTGCAGTGGAGATACAGTGATGATTGAATCGGCTAACACTTGTCCAGCGTTGTGCCTCAACTCTTAATTTATTAGCCACAATGTGTCAGTAATATTTCTGACATCTGCCACTGTGTATAGATAAGAGACAAACGATACGCTCAGTTCTTAATTGCAACTAAAAGTGACATCTATCAAATTCATAACGTTCTGCAGCCTATAAATTTAACGATGACAAAAATCCCACGGCCTAACTTTTGACATTTCCCTGACCCTACACTATAGTCGGCACGTTTACATAGGTCGTGCTTTATTGGACGAAACATCAATTCAACAACAGTGTTAATTGACGGTTTGGGAGCCTTCCTCGACATATTTGCATAAATACGGATACCGTTTTCCAATTCAAGTGGCTCCACCTAATAGGCGTAGCGTAGCACTGAAGTGTTCCGAAACCAACAGGGTGTTCAATCTGCGAAGAAAATAACGGTTGAATGAGCGGAACTGACAGAGAAACAGCTGGAAAGTCCGACTGGGAAGTGTTGTGTGCAGCTATGCGGCAGTATACCTATTTTGCTGTTACAGATTACAAGTTAGAAGGTCGGGCAAGGTTAGTCCGTGGTACAAATTTACTGCAAGGTGAACATGCAAGCCTAATAACGATCCATGCCTTCACCTGGATGGACAAGTAAAATGTAGAAAACCAAGGAGAAGTGTTGGTAAAACCTTTTCAATTTCTACTTATTCTTGGCGGCTACAACGTGTGTTCTAGTTATTTTTTTACACTTGTGACGCGTAAAAAATGTGTTGCTAAAATGACCGGTTGCATTGGAGACTCGACGATATGAGACATCTGCGAGAGCAAACAAGCTAATCAACTCTTGTATGTGCAGCGGAATAGAAAGTGCTCATGCTCAAACGATTTGTCGCCTCATCGAACATTTCCTATGCCCTAATGACCGTTCAAATCCACTTATACCCTCTGCGAGACCTGTCACAGTACCGGTCAATTCACCTACACTCTGCAATAACCACTCAGGCGAACTGTCAAAGTCACTTAACCTCTGTGATAGCCACTCAGGTGACCGGTCAAATTCACTCACCCTCTGCGATAGCTGCTCCAGTGACCGGTCGAACTCGTCGTCTGTGCACCACATCAGGTGTTCACGTCCCTCCGCCGTCAGAGCTGATGCCGACACTCCCTGTGAACAGAACACTGCATGTCAGCTGATTGTGCTCGTCAGCTGATTAAGGGGGCAACGGGGGAGGAACAACGAACAAAAAAAACACAATTGGGCAGAGTCGGTTATGTGAATGGTTTGTTACACACATGGAATCAACTGAAAAAAAATATTACCAAGCCATAATTAGATAATAGAATAATGCCTTATTTTTTTGTGTTTGCTCTGACTGTTTGATTTGGATCAGAAAAAAAAAGATTTTCTCTGCGATGGTCGGCGTCAGCTGCGTCTGGCTTGGTCGGCGTCTAGCTCAATTCATATTCAGATGAAAAGATATCCTTGCTTGGCGATGTCAGCGCCGGACGCTTGTGAATATGCAAACTCTTCGCCAATGTGATAACCTAATTTGAACTATCACTATGGTAGGAGGGTAAAACCCGCAGTCTCAAGAGCATACTGAAGCGACATTGTGTTTTGTGTCGTCAGCCTCTTCAAAAAACGGATCTATTGCATCATACGGCGGCTTCGACTAGTGTTAAAAAAAAACAGTTCAAAACGACTTTTGTATAGAAAGTCTCTACCTTCATACTGCAGGGGAATGTAGCATTTGCCTACTGATATCAGATATTTGGTAAAAATGCGTTTTTGCTATTGCAAATCATCTCATTTTGGCAATATTTCAATTCTTAAGTTTTGAAAACAAGCTGCAGTAAAATCTTATTTACTTTTCGTAGCATGCCAACCTCACCAACAGAACCAGCAAGTTTCGCACCAACATTTTTCGCAAGTAAAGCATAGTTGAAATGACGCATTTTATGATTTTCTTAGGACAACAGATTTCTATCAGTTTTACTTAAGTTGATCATTTCATATTATAAGGTATAGAAACTTGAACTGTATATTATTTCTATATAGAAACTGTCGATAGCTTTGTGAATTTTGCATTTGAAAGCATGCTGAAAGTGTAATAAGTTATTCCTTCGTGTGGTGCGGTATACTGCGGTGGTCACTACGTGGTCGGGTTCGCTCTGTATGTAAACTAAGGCCAGTCGGTTTTCAGAGTAGTCCGCATGCCCTAGCAGAGCTCCAAGTATAATAATAGCAAGACGTAGCGTGCTCGAACTACACAAAGCATAAATCACATAGCGCGCATTTCATAAATCAAGCTTGCGTGTTAAAAATATTGCCTTGCTTTGGACTGATTTGCATATGCTTAGGTGCGGTGATTATCATGTGAAGTTGAACATAACTTGATTTAAGCTTGTCAACAATTCGTAAAACACAGTAAAATAGATTAAGCAAATAGCTCACGAAGATCTGTTGGACATGTTTAAGAAATGCGTCATCAAAACCCAACAGCCAGATATCAACGGTTGAATCCCAACCACAATACCACGAGGCAAACATAAGCACCTAATCCGATCGCCACGACCCACAAAACTTAATAACAAGTCACCTAACTATAAATCCGTTTTTATTGGCCACCATCTCTCGCTTCCAACGGTTAGTGTTCGGACAGGCATAAATCGTGTGCTGCATGGCTAGATTGCTAGAAACCGAGTCTTTCTACGGGACGCCTCTGAACCATCGTCTATGAAACAGCAACTGGCAACAGCTGCCACCAATGGCTCGTGCAAGTTGCAGAGCACGACTATTGGACCGTTACTTCGGTCACGAGCCAATGCCAATGCCGAAACTCTGCCGCAGTCCGGAGGTCCAAGATGCTGCACTGCATACTGCACCAGTGACCTCAAGTGATCAGCTCAGCCTCAGCGGAAGTCATGCATTGCAAATCAACAGCACGGTGTCATAAAACGGCGCCAGAATTGAAATTCATTTATGTTAATTAATACGAAAAAACGTGCATTGTCTGACTTGAAGAGAGCATTCACCAGGAGTCACGGTCACCATTGAATGATTACTGAATATATCAAACGAAATGGTCGCCTGTAGCGGGCCAGCGGCCATATTCACTCAGCAAAACCGATATTGCATGGCAGACTATTGGCCATGTTTATGCAAATTTAGCATTGAACTTTACGACTTGAGAGGAACAGCCGTCAGAACCAGGTAGAACTCACGAACAATTTTTCTCTGAACACCTGTCAAAGAACGTGTCCGTTATATCCTTGCATCATTTTATGAAGTGCAGCATAGGCAATCATCAACGTCTGCATGGACGTCTGCTATCCAGGCTTGGACAGGCATCCCTTCTTACTGCAGATGGAATCGACATGCGCGCCATTTGTGGTCTGGACATGATGTATTGATATACGGAAGGTGCCCAGAAGATCTGCAGGGCGAGCGCACGTCTGACAGCTTCAGTGCACGTGATCCCGACTCAGTCCATTGAGTGGAGCCCATCTCGAGTCAAGGCCCTAAAATAGAACCACCCGGCAACTGCGACTGCTGGGCGTCATTCACGTTATTCACGTTCTGCTTTGACCTATGCTTGAATATCGAGTAAAAAATAGGCCACACGCCGTAAAAATGTGATGTGATTGATAGGTTCTCTAATGCAAGTCATGTTTGTGGTAGCAGTCTATGTTCTTGCAACGCTATATCAACCAGCAAACAGCACGACACGCCCCTCAGCTGCAGGCAAAGCCCTACTGAATTACACATGTTGCCTGTAGCTGATCTTGTTCAAAGGTGAACATTACAGCAGTTGTATGTCACAAGCATGTTTTCGAACACCTGTGCAGATCCTACTTGTACCTATAGGTAGGTCATGTATGTACGTACATCGTGGATCGCTCAGCTAGAACCACTCTATTCTTGGGTCACACATGCAGTGTGTCAAACGAGCAACAGTTCGCAAAACAAATAGTAATTCTATAAACACCACTGCGAATCTCGTCAGCCAGGACATTTACTCAACACCCCTGCATATTCCAGGAGCCATGACACCCGTCGCACAAGGTCCAATACCAGCCAGACAGCCACTCACTGCTCCCCTCAGCTGTGCTGACGGCTCACTTACTGTCCACACATTTCGTGAAGAACACACAATCCATGTGTACCGTATCCCGACTAGAGGACTTCACCACCGCGCCATGGAGCCACTCTGTGTGTTCGACAAACTCCTTGTCCACGCTGCAGTCCCTTCTACTGTCACACCGCAAACGTGAGAGTCATTGCAATCGATGCCGCGAGGCGTAACGCAAAGGCGACAAAACAACCCGCACGTCAGAGGTGGAACGAAAGCGGAGGCGGACTGTGATACGGACTGCTGACTGCGGAGGCGGACTGCGGAGGAGGCTCTGATGGATCAATGATTTGTCGTGGCTTGCGTGGCATTTGGATATGCTGATATGCCGGATTCTTGACCTTGTACTCGATGATAAACCGATATTGGCTATGAAACTGGATAGCTTCACCGTTTGCGAAAATGTTTAGTGACTGGCACATGCATTATTCATTCTTTAGACGGTCTACTGTTACAAGGATAAGAGTGAAACCCTCGTCGGCGGCGCGGTGACCGACACAACTTCGCCTTATCTAAAATAGCTGCCACGCGCGTCAGTGATCAGTCAGGGTAAACACCACACTCTCTGACCACCTTATACAGTGTGAGATTTTAACTACCCGGTCACCCTTATACGGCGAGTCTCTAGGTCCCACCCTTTGGCCTTGAACGGCATGATTAATCGAAATCGAGTCTCCTCTGGCCAGTCATGCTACCGTCGGCGCTGAGGTATTGTGCACCGGTATAACGCTGAGTGGCGGCGGCACACTACGAAGGGCGTTTGGAGTTCCGCCCGGTCTCAGACGGCCACCCATCTCTGTCCAATGTCAGCAGCCGGAGACGCCCACGTCGACCAGAGACGCCCAGAAACGCCCCTATAGAGTCGCCAGAATCATCCAGGGTGCCCAAATCGTCAAGTCACCCGTACCACCTAGTCAGTCCAATTTCAATATCGTCCAGAACAGTCCACAGAAGTGAAGGAGGAATCTACAATATGTAGTTGTCCAGAGTGTAAACTTGTAAAGAGTCAGCGCAACTATGGTATCATAGTTGTCCCAGTGCCGTCCAGCCGAAATACCCAAAGTCGCTCAGAGTGATATAAATAGCTCAGAAACTCCTCGAGACGCCTATAACTGAGAACACGTCCAAAACCACCCACAGCACCGAGAGTCGGTCACGCTGTCAAGGATGCCCACTGCCCAGTGCTGCCAAAAGGCCGGCAAGAGTCGCCAAGAACCAAGGCTGCCCAGAGATCTCTCTCAAAGCGCGTGCTGCCGCTGAGGGTCTTCTCGAGCAGCCCAGACCGTTCATGAGCCACCCACGCTGGCTGCCCATGAGCCGCCCATGACATCCGCCCCCGCCCGGCCAGTCGGGCGGGCGGCGCTCTGTCCGGCCGGCCGCGGCCCTGGCACTGTTCTGGAGGATGTAGCACCGGACCTGGAAGCGCTAACGGAGCTATTTAGAGTCCACACGGGTCGCGGCGTATGGTTATTCTGCCCCGTCGCGACCTTTGACACTAATGTGCCGGCTAACATTGCTCACGCTCATGAAAGCGCCGGCGCACCGGCGACGTCAAACAATGCGGTCAGGTCGGCACTGTGTGCATGCTAATTGTTTATGGTTGGATGACTGCAGTCGACCGTGGGGGCGGGCGGCTCTAACTTCAACACCGAGAGCAGCTGCCCGCCCCCCGGGCCCCCAATTACCTACAGGACTTCACAAGAAGGGCCGGCCTGCGGGGCGGGGGCGGCGCAGTCTCCGGCTCCGGCGCTGCTGCCCCGCCCCGTGGGCCGGCCACAGCACCGACGAGGAGCGGGGGGCCGACCGTGGGGGCGGGCGGCTCTAACTTCAGCATCGAGAGCAGCTGCCCGCCCCCCGGGCCCCCCATATACCTGCAGGACAACGTTCGACGGGCCGGCCTGTGGGGAGGGGGCGGCGCAGACTTCAACATCGGGGAGGCTGCCCCCCCCCTACGGGCCGGCCCAACCACCACCACCACCAGGAAACATCGCGAAGGATGGGGGGGGGGGGGCGGGCGGTAGCAGCTCCAACT